GCTCCTTTTCGATTACAGCAAGTTTTTTATTAGTGTATTTTAGCTCTTTTTCGGTTACAAGTTTTTTATTAGTGGATTCAAGCTCTTTTTTGGTTACTGCAAGTTTTTTTTCTGTATTTGCAAGATCTTTTTGAAGCTTATCATTTTCTTCTTTATTCGCTATGTTAAACTATACAAAATATTGCTTAAAATAATTTTTAAATGTTAATAAAATCTTAATAATACTTACTTTTTCAAGTAATGTTTTGTGTAGTACATTAATATATGATTCGTGTACTGATTGCCATACCTTATTAACAGTATTTATATTATGTTACCAGACGTTATTGGTATTCTATTTGAATAAAAATCTTTCAATAAAATTTTAAAAACATAAATTAACAAAGTAATTGATCCAATGAATGCTATCTATTACCATTATAAGAAATATGCTAAATAAAGCTAATGCAACCAAAATTGCTATAAAATACCAATTTTTTTAAATATCTTTTTCCAATTCTGATTACTTTTAGTATTACTTTCAATATTTATATTGATATTAAAATTTTGTAGTTGTGACTGGATGGGTGGTTTGTTAAGCAGAGATTTCGTGTTCAAAGTTACAAGATTTTTATTCTTGAAAATCAAACTTTTTTGATATTGTTTTGGAGTTTCCAAATTCGGGAAAGGAAAAGTTGAGACTAGATCCACATTAGTTGAAGTTGAGGCTGGACAATTAAATGTGGTATCTTCCAATAGTACCAGTTGACTCCCATTATTATTTAAATTTTGGTCAGGGATATAAATTTCTTCAAAACTTACAGAGGATCCTTCAAGACTTACAGAGGATTCTCTACAAGCAAGACTTACAGAAGATTTTCTACTGGAGCAATTTGGGTCTTTTTTTTGTTAGTTTGGCAGTTTTCTATTAATAAGAAAATAAATTAAAAGTTTATCAGTTTTTCGATGAAATAACATCAAAAAATAAAAACTTTATACCATAAACATATCACCAAGCTGCCTTAAAAATAAGACCATTTACATATCCTTCATGATTTTTTATTAATTCCTTATCAATTTGCCTTAACGCATTATTAAATATAGATGATTGGTCAGAAAAATATTTTGCTAGAGCATAGTTTATCGAATTAAGAGATTTAGGTATAAAATAGTGATGACAATAGTTATTGTATTCGATATCTGTTAGAGAAACATTTGGTAATTCTTTTTTTGTAATTTTGGGTGCTATTATGATGATTTCTCGCGTATTGAGACGTGATCAGATCCTTTTTTTTAAATAAAGATCAAACGAACGGATGTGTTCCAGAGTCTGGATATATAGTACCACAGGCTTTTTCTGTATTTAGCTTATGGCCATGTTGTAAAATATTAATCATCTTAAAACTCTAATTTAAAATAATCCAATATATTTTTTTGCCATCACAATCATTGATCTACTATATTTGATACTGATTTATATATATCAAATAGCTTTCTTTAAGAATTATCGTGAAATTTTATTGAAATTTTTATTTCATTTGAATATTTACTGAGTTCTAAAAAGATAAAATAACTCAAGTATAAAAGATTAAGTATTGCATAAATTTCAAATGAAGGGGGAAATTCAATGGATGAACTACATAAGAAATTAGTCATTAGGTTGATAATTTGATAGAATCTCATAAAAGATAAACTTTTCAGGTCTCAGAATCGTGTATTTCTGTAAAAATATCACTATTATAAAGCATCTAATCACAATCATATTTGTGTGAAATTTTATTTGTTTTGTGATGCTCTAAAAAAAGATTGAAAATTCGAACTGTCTATAGAGGTCATGACAGTTGACTCAAATGAATCTTTGTATAATATAAAAATTTACAAATTCTATTGCTATATATTTAAGCCAAATTTGGAACCAATATAAAAGCTACTCTAATTTTAGGTTCAACTCTGGTTTGATGTAATAGAAATCACATGATTTTTATAAAATTTACTTTACTGATACATATTTATAAACCAGTTTTTAAAAGATTTCGATTTCAAGAATGAAAACTGGGTTACATGCATTATGCATATATAACAGATAATATAGTAATTAAAACTCAATAACCTGTTTTATGCCAATCTGACATTAATATAAAAAGTACTCTCAGCAATTGATTTATATCAGCCACTTAGACGAATAGTCAAATTTGACGTATTATTGCATATGGTATGAATTTTTATCTGTGATTGGCTAATTACGTGGCAAATCTCATGATTGTTAAGATCCAAATGCCTAGAAGTATAACATCCTAAGCTACACTTCAGACAATAATAATTATGTGTGCTTAGCAAATATTAGTTTAATAATAAGGTTGTAAGTTGTGGTCAATTCTGAAAAATGAGAATAATAGAAGTTTAAGTTGCAAAATATGCTTAAGTAAATTGGTATTTGTAAATTGGTATTTGTAAATTGGTATTTATTAAATTCTTTCTATAATATTTCAATCACATTATAAAAATATGATATAAAAACTACTATTCTAATTCCAGGTTTAAAGTAATTCACGTACAATATGAATTATATGTAGAAATCACATGATTTTCATAAATTTATTTTATCAATAATATTGGTTTATAAACTCAGTATTTTAATGTAAAAATACTACTAACTATATTAATAATATGCAGTATATAATATTGTAAAATTTGTTGACTATTGGTCAATTATACGTCTCGTGATTGTTTAGACCCAATTCTTAAAAGTATAATGTTCTTTGGTACTACAGTAGTATAAAAAAGTAAGTTTTATATAGAAACTAGCCAGTTTAATATGATTAACCAATCATAAAAAGATCTAAAGGTTACAGGAATAGCTTAAATTAGATCTTTGGCTAGAAGATTATTATTTAGCTAGTAATGCCCATATATTATTTATACTATATGTTATATCAATACCAGGAAAATCACGTGAAATTCTATTTTATTTGCGTGATGCTCTAAAAAATATCAAAATTTCAAACTATCTATAGGGGTTATAGTATATTAAATTCTATTGCTATGTATTTAAGCCAAATTTGAAATCAATATAAAAGCTACTCTAATTTTAGGTTCAATTCCGGTTTGATATAATAGAAATTATATGATTTTTATAAAATTTACTTTATCGATACAGGTTTTTAAAAGATTTCAATTTCAAGAATAAAAACCGGATTATATGCATTACTGTATAAAAATTTCAAGAATGATGCGTATATGGTATGAATTTTTATCTGTGATTGGCTAATTACACAGCGTAACAGTTATTGATCAACTTATTATTTAGCAATATAAAATATATTTGCCAGACTCTAATTTAATTTCAATATATGTTTTATATAATACCATATAAAAAAAGTAATTTCAATATATGTTTATACAAGATTTTTATTTTTAGCTCTTTAACTATCATTTGAATATAATAATAAAAGAAAATGTTATTTATATTCTTTAATCAAATATTATTATAATACTATATAAAAAAAGTAATTATATTATTAAATGAAAATATATAAAGCTAGAAAAATAAAAAAGAGATGTAGATAAAAAATGGGATGTAGATATGTTAAGAAAATTACTAGAGCCACTAATATCGATCTTTATAAAAGTCTGACCAAATTTTATGAAAGACAAGTTGAATTTCTCGAGCATAAAAAAAAAACATGTTTTAAAATTTTTTAATAATAACAATATACAAAGAGATAATTTGTCTATTAAATTAGCAAAATTACAAATTTTAATAGATGAAGGTGAAACAAATAAAGCAAGAATTAAAGAACTTTCAAATAATCTTTATAAATGAGAAAATGAAATCAATGCCTTAAACAATACTATTAAACATCTAACAAAAGAAAGAGATGACTTCAAAAAATGGTGTAATGATTTGAAAATCAAGAAT